TATATATATGTATATATATACGTGTGTGTGTGTGTGTGCATCTTTTTCGTGCAGTTATTGCATTTTATCTATGCGAGTTTGTTAGTTTTATTTCCTAAAAGGGAAAATTAGTTTTTTTTTTCTATTTTAACAGAATTTAGTACATTTTGTATCACTTTGTTAATTTGTTTTCGTTAATTTTGTTTTTCATCTCTCTTTCATGCAAACATTGCCTTTGTGTCTGGATTACTGCCTTTGTTTTTCTCTTCTATAATTGAATATACCAAATGTCGATTGTCATTTACATATGTGTATATCGTATCTTGAAATGTTTTCCTTATCGTTTTACATTCTTCGCTTTTAAAGAATTCAACTTCGTGCTCATATCTTGCCTATCGGATTTATATTTTCGCTCCTATCAGTTATTTTAGACCTGTTTTCGCTTTAGACCTGTTATTTTACCTCACTTTTTTATTTTCAACTTTATTTCCCACCATGTAGGAATTCCTACATGGTGTTTAATTCTTTTCATCTGATATAAGTTTATACAAATGCGAATGCGAATGGGAAAAATATGAAAAAAAAATGTATTGTTCGTACTATTGCATAAATTCTTCATAGATTTATTGAGTTGCATTCCCTGATTTAGCTCATTGATACAACGTTTTGCAGTTTTGCTTTGTTTTTTCGCGTTTAAATCTGCGCATAGAATTGATTGAATTTTGTGTGTGTGCATATTTTTTTCCGAGCAATTATTGTATTTTATCTACGTGAGTTTATCAGTTTTATTTCGTAAAAGGGAAAAAAATCTTATCTTTTTTATTGTTTTAATAAAATTTAGTTTATTTTATATTACTTGAGTTTAGCTTCATTTGAAAGCTATTTCAAATTACCATGTTAATTAAGTGTTTTTGCCATTGAAAGATCGTTCTAAGTATATTTTCAGTTAATTAGCTCTCATTCATACAACTTTTTGCAGTCATTTATTCTTTGATTTCTTTTTTTTAATTTTTTAATTTGCGTGTAGAATTTATTGAATAAATATATGTATGTGTGTGTGTGTGTGTGTGTGCATTTTTGTCGAGCAATTATTGCATTTTATCTTTGCGGGTTTGTTAGTTTTATTTCCTAAAAGTTTTTTTTTTTTCTTAATTATTGTAACAGAATTTAGTACATTTTATATTACTTGCCTTAGCGTAACTTGATAGGTATTTCAAATCACCGTGTCCTGCATAGCCTTTATTTCGTTTTCTGGTCTTTTGTTTTTCGTTTCTCGTCCAAACATTGGTAATTTTAGCAGCATAGTCATTTGTGTTGATAACAGTTCTTTTATATATTTATTTCTTTGATGTTTGATAGAATTTTGTATATTTTATATTACTGGAGTTAGCCTTATTTGAAAGCTACTCCAAATTACCGTATCTGATTTTTTCTTCCTGGTTTTAAAAGGTCGTTCTAAGTACATTTTCGATTAATTAGCTCTCATATTTTATATAACTTGAGTTTATTCTTTATCCTATTTTTTTTTTATTCTTAAATCTGCGTGTAGAATTTATTGAATATATATACACGTGTTTTTTCTTAATTATTTAAATAGAATTTAGTACATTTTAAATAACTTGACTTAGTGTAACTTGAAAGCTATTTCAAATTACTGTGTTCTTCATTAATTTCTTTTCGTTCTATGGTCTTTTGTTCTTCGTTTCTCATTCATGCAAACATTGCATTTCTTGCTTGCATTACTGCTTTTGTTTTCTTTCTGTTCTATAATATGTCTAGAATGTATAGCATTATATGAAACATCGGAGGAAAGTGATGATAAGGTAAATTCACGGGGGAGGAACAGCGCGGCAGACCTCTATATAAAACTGTTATTTGCTGCATTTCATTTGATATAATTTGCTCTTTTTATTCTTCTCGCTTGATATCCTTGGAATTCTAAGCATTTTAACTTTACTGACAAACGATTAGTTCGATATCAGTGATTGCTGCCTTGGTTATCATTGTTGGTCATTTTAGCAGCTTAGTAATTTGTGTTGATAACGAATCTTTTATTTATTTGTTTATTTTTGTACTGGGTAATTTTTTTTTTCGTTTCTTTCTTTTTTTCTGTAATATTTCTGCTTAGTCTTTGTTGCATTACATTTCACCTATATGACACTGAAGTCGTTGAAAACAATATAAAGAAGGTAAAATGTAGATGCTTCGACCTGAATCACTTCCACTTGGAAGCTATTTCAAGTCACCGTGTCCAACCATATTTTTTCTTGGCGTTCGTATCTCGTATTTTGTTTTTCGCTTTTCATTCACACAACTTCCATTCTTCTGGGGGGGGGATATGTGAGAATTTTATTTTCTCGAATTTTGTTAAAATCATCAGTATCTTAGGTCGTTTTATTAATGTATTTACTTGATTAGCATCATTTAATAATCTCTTATTTCATACACACTTCTAACCATACTGAGGTTTATGACAAAAAGTCACAATATCAATATTATTTTCTTTTCTTTTCTTTTTTACCTGAATTGTTGTAGCTTTGGTTGAAAGCTATTGCAAATTACTCTGTTCACCCTTTATTTATCTTCGCGTTTGTCTATTCGTATTATAATACATTCTATTTTTGTTTCTCATTCATGCAGTTATTGCATTTTCTTCTTTTATTATTTGCTTTGGTCATGTATTCGTTGCTGGTGGGTTTTTTTCTTAATATTGCTAGAAAATTAATTGCATTGTATTGAGTTAGCTAAAGTTGAAAAATATTACAAATTCTATATGTAGTTGTAATTATCAACAGCTATGTTATATATGTATATATATATATATATATATATATATATATATATATATATATATATATATATATATATATATATATATGTATATGTATATATATATATATATATATATATATATATATATATATATATATATATATATATATATATATATATATATATAATATATCTATGCAACAGCATGGAATTATCATTGTTATAATGGCTGTTAACGTTACTGTATTTAGACGAGTAACAACAAGCAGGCATAGGCCATACAGTCGGGAGCTGAGGGCGCCACCCTGCACAAAAGGCCGCCCATCCACGTTTTCTGCAGTCAGGTTACGTCAGTTTGCCACCAACGTGTTTCCATCATGGACACTTTATAGTCAGAAAAAATAGAAATGAAAGTTGGTATAAAAGGTAATTTACTTACATTAACATGTTCATTATATATCACCTACATTACAGTGTAATTATTGTTAGCAATGTATCATGACGGTGGTGCTGCATTTTTATTTTTTTGTATTTGTGTGTGTGTGTAAAACTAATTCTAAATCAAAAAGTGAAATGATCTAGTCGTATTTTTTTCGACAGTTGAAAATATTGTATTTTCTTAAATCCACAAAGTATCGACCATGAAATGTTACTTGTATTTTTTGTTTTTACTAATATATCATGGTTAAATCTAAGGAGAATGTGTATCAACAGTATAGATGCATATCATATACCTACAGAATATATTATATTTGATCATTATTTATTGTATACGTTTATGTATAAATGTGTGTGTAAATTGGCTCGGTGTTCTCAATAGAAGAGATGCATTCTCAAAATTATGACTCATGATAGCCAATGATATTATTAATTATTGTTTTTGTTATGATTTTGTTATGAGAGAGAGAGAGAGATAGATAGATAGATAGATATATATATATATATATATATATATATATAGAGAGAGAGAGAGAGAGAGAGAGAGAGAGAGAGAGAGAGCAATTGTAACTTGATTTTCAACACAGAAGGAAGATTTTCATTATTTTTATTATGCCATATAATCAAAGCATGATCTTCAAGTGTCGCCTCAGAGTGACCGTTTCAAGTGTGACATATTGATCTCTTCATACTGATCTCAGTTCTAATATGTGACCGTTTCCAAGTATGAACTGAGCATCCAAAACTAAATCAGTGCTCCTTCAAAACGATAGGCAGTGAATGTTATTTCAAGGCTGACCTTCACCGTCAAGAATGAAGTATGATCGAGTGCTCCTCCAAGACGCAAAATAACCAATGCCTTCAAGTGTTAGTCCAGAGTGGAAAGCCCTCAAGTGTGACCTTCATCTCAAAGTGTGAAGTTCTCGCCCAGGAGTGACTAATGCTTGTCCAAAGCGCCGAACGACCAGCACCTTCAAGTGTTTGTTCAGAGTGTGGCCATCTCAAGTGTGACCTACAATACCGAGGATGAGAAGAGACATCAAGTATTATGGTGAGTCTCACACACACTCAACCAAAGAAATTTACGCTTGTATTTATTTTCATCACTGAAATACGAGATAAGTAATCTTATTAAATTGTTTTTTTTTTCTCAAAATATTTCAGAATTGACCCCGGGACGTCACACTTGAGCACTGAATGACCCACGCGGCCATGGAGCGCAGGCTTTGAAACGCCACAGGACGCCATGAAGGAAACTTTAAAACTTAGCTTGAAGCTCTGAGTTTGATCTTGTTATTATATATTATAAATATTACTGTTATTGTCTTTATTATTGTAATCATTATTGTTGTCTTTATTGTTATTATTATCATTTTTTTTAGTTTCTTGTTTGGTGTTCACACTTCGGTCTATGTCATTGTGAAGACAGCCATGTTATATGTACATTGATATCTTGGATCAAAAGCTAGTATGAAAAGGTCAGTTACACACTTGAAACGTCATGAACAGGCGTCACACTTTTAGGTCATACTTTGATATTACTCTGCAAATGTTATATTTATTTTTAGTTTTATTTGAAACGCCGAGCTTTTTTTATTGAAGACTTGGTTGATTTCCTATGAATAATATCTGTGTGCTCCAATATCTATCTTTATTTTATCTTTCTTTTTTTGAGTTATTATACTTTCTTTGTAATAATCAAAACAATTATTTCATATTCCTTTCGGTTTTAGATTATATAACTATTTCGGTTTTTGGTCATCTAATGTTACATGTACAATATTTGAAAATAAAAGATGTTAATTTGGTAAGCTACTTTTCTTATTCAGACTTCAAAGAATAAGTATTTTTTTTTTTTGGTTATATGGTTGTGCGAACATGAAAATATCAACATAATCTATTTATTTTAGATACGTGGCCTACTATTTATAACAAAAAATAATTCCAAATATCTCGTTTATAACGCTTACAAATGTTAAGTTGTTACAAGAAGAATCGGCCACCCACTTGAAAAGCAGACCAAATATATAGTTTAGTCACTCTTACAAATTCACGTTTTCTCATGATGTTAATAGAAATAAAAGTCCGCAAAGAAAATGTGACTATGGATTTTCTATCGCTGTCTCTGCAAACTACACTTTCAGATATATATTCAAAAATAATAAAAACGTCAGCGATGATAACACACACACACACACACACACACACACACACACACACACACACACACATACACACACACACACACACACACGCACACACACACACACACACACACACACATACACACACACACACACACACACACACACACACACATACACACACACACACACACACACACACACACACACACACACACATACACACACACACACACACCAAAATACCAGAAACCTAATTTGGGTTTATGAAGCATAAAGGTACGACGAATGCTATCTTCATCATGAGAAAGCTTGTTGAGAGAGCCATCCAACACCAGGAAATATTTACCTGGTTTCCATTGACTATCACAAAAAGCTTTGATAAGGTTCAACTTAGAAATGTTCAAAATCCTCGTAAATATCCGGGTAGATGACAAAGATGTGAGACTAATTCAATTTGCAGCAGTCTGCCTATTCGATGGAACAACTAACTGGTTCCGTGTGATGTCATCTGACTTCTTTAATTTATACTCTGAAGTTATCCTGTAGGAGATTGAAGATCGTCAGGAGGGAATCGTTATCAATGGTTGCAAGATCAACAATCTTTGTTATGCAGATGATACAGTTCTCATGGCCACATCTGTAAATACTCTCCAATTTTTTTTTTATGTTGTGGAAACCAGCGAACATCTTGACCTCCATGTCAATACCAAGAAGACAAAATGCATAGTAGTTTTCAAGATCGCAAGTTCCACTAATCACTAATCCACTAATGAAACAAGGAGATATAGAAATCCAGCATGCCTCCTCCGATTATTTAGGAGCTCTTGTCTCTTCTGATGCTCGTTGCAAGAAGGAAATCAGATGCAGAATCGGACTAGCTCTCAATACAAATAAAAATCAGACGCGTTAAAACAGTACAGTCGACTCGCCTATGTAATCGCGAGTCCTGAACACTGAGGGCTAAACTCGGCGCATTATAGAGGCCGAAGAAATGGGGTTCTACCACCATGTTACGCACCCATTACACCGACCGAGTGTCCAATGAGATCCTCAGAATAGTCGGACAGGAACGTGAGCTTCTAGAATGGATCCAAGTACAAGTCAAACTCCTCGGACATGCAGTCCGTAAAGGAACATTAGAAGACCTTAGCCTAAGCGGTATGTGTGTATATGTATCTGTCCATGAGCGTGTGTGTGTGTGTGTGTGTGTGTGTGTGTGTGTGTGTGTGTGTGTGTGTGTGTGTGTGTGTGTGTGTGTGTGTGTGTGTGTGTGTGTGTGCGTGCGAGCATTATATACATATATATACTTCTCCGAAAAACTGCCAGATACAAAATCACCTTTCTAACTCCCTCTAACCCCAAACCCCATCCTTACCCATTCCAACATCGTCCTGAATCCTCCTCGCCCACATCACCCGCCTCCTTCCCTCAACCCCTCTGCTGCAAGCCTAAAATTTATGCACATTATAATGCATGGACTCATTGTAATGAAGTACGTATGTGTGCTCATGCAGATGCTGTTCAAAAGGTTATGCATGAGTATGAGTGCAATAGCACTGAATTGCACAGGTGTACATATGTATATATATGCATATGGGTAGGTGTGAGTGTATATATGTGTATATAAGTCAGTAGGTGGGGGGGGGGTAAGTCGGCTGTCTACCTCTCAATCAAAAATCATGACTGCACAAATAGAGCAACGGCCCTCATTCCCTGAGGGCAAAGGAGCCCCTGGTTACAGCGGCGATTTGGATCGCTCCGGAGCAGAGGGTGCAAAAAATCTCCGGTTAAAAACAGGCCGCCCAACGTTGATGAACCTTTGAACATATAATATATGGACAATGAGAACTGAATCCAACTTAATAGCATTACTTGAGGAACTCTCTTTTATTAAATGGGATGTTGTAGGACCCCGTGTAGTTAGAAGACTAAGCAAAAAATAGAAGATAGTAAATGATGAACACGTATTCTATTGGAGAAGAAAATTCCAAAGTAGCAAGCAAGAATTAGGGGTAGGTTTCTTAGTCCACAAATGTTTAGAAAAGTATATCGTGGAAAGGTATAGTATAAATGAAAGAGTGGCTTCAGCAACAATAAAACTAAACAATAGGTACAATTTAAAGATTGCTCAAGTCTATGCTCTAACCTGCAGCCACTGCGATGAAGAAATAGAGAGCTTCTATGAAGATGTACATTTTCCCAGCGAGAGAGTAAAAACCCACTTTACAATAATTATGAGAGATTTTAATGTCAAAATAGGTAAAAAGACCTCAATGTCACTCAATATCATGAATACATTCTTCAAAGAAAGATTAGAGCAGAAGTGGACATGGAAGTCGCCATCTGACATCAAAAGCGAGATTGACTTCATAATTTCGAATAGGTGCAATATAGTAAAAAAATTTATTAATAAAGTAAATGTTGGAAACGACCATTTAATTGTCAGAGGCCAAATTAAATTACACCTCTGAAGGGAAAGGAGCAAACTCATACGATTTAAATTTAGCTAACATGAAGACCAGAGTGACAGAATTTAACCTTAACATCCAAAACAGATATTCACTTCTCAGCGACGAAGATCTCAGCATTGGCCAAATCAACAAACAGTTCAATGACATAATAAAGGAAGCTGCACTCGAAGTAGGCAGTGAGAACTTCAAGTAAAGCTCCAGCTAGCTCTCAGTAGAAACAGTTTATGCAAAAACGTAGGGTCATGTAAGTATTGTCAAACAGGGACAAAATTGAATTAGCTGAACTAACAAATACTATAAATAAAAAGAAGAGAGAAAATGTACGTAAATTCAATACTCAAATAATAAATGAAACAGTGATCTCAGGTACCAGCATGAAAATAGTTAAAAGGGGACTCGGAATAGGGAGAAATCAAATGTATGCAATAAAGAAACCAGACGGAGAAGTGACATATAATAGGAATGAAATCATAGGATTAGTGGAAGACTTTTACAGGGATTTATGCACCTCAAATGAACAGCCACGGATAGAAGCGAATACGGTAACCAGAGATGTACCTAACACCACAACAGAAGATATAAAAAGAACGTTTAAAGGCATGAAGAGAGGGAAACACCAGGTGAAGACGGAATTAGTATAGACCTTATAATAGATGCAGGAGAAATTACGACAGTGAAACCAGACAATCTTTTTAACAAACGGAAAAACTCTGAAAGCCTGTAAAAATGCAACAATTATTTTGATACATAAAAAAGGGGATGGAAAGGATCTAAAACACTACCAACCCATAAGTCTCCTTTCAGTTACTTACAAATTGTTCGCAAAAGTCATCACAACTCTGACAGTCTGGATTCTAACCAGCCTAGAGAACAGGCAGGCTTCCATAAACAGACTACATCCTAAACCCACCCGAATAGGAGAAATAATAAACGAATTTAGGAAACCCCAACTATGCTATTCATCGATTACGAAAAGACATTTGACTCTGTACAAATACCAGTAATACTAGTAGCTATTCAAAGACAGAGAGTAGAGGAGGTATACTGTAAAATACTGGAAGATATATATATACGAAGATGGGACAGCAACCATCAAGTTCAACAATGAAGCAGATAAAATACCAATCAAAAAAGGCGTTAGAGTGATACCATCTCACCATCTCACCTTGTCTTGAGGATATATTCAAGAAGCTAGGATGGGTGATATTGTTCTCTTCAGTGTATCTCCAAATAAAATACAGCAACCAATAAACGATCTGAATAGAGAAAGTCTGAAAGTCGGACTTAGGATGTGCAAGAAAAAGAGGTAGTGGACAGTTATATATACCTAGGGCAACATGTACAGACAAACACATCTAGCGAAAAGGAAATTAAGCGACGCATCAGTAGCATACTAAGAGACTCCTTGCCATTATGCTTAAAACAGGAAAGTTTTTAACCAGTGAGTCCTCCCAGTTATGACCTATGGATCAGAAAACTGGACTACAACCAAATTACTGGAGAGGAAATGAATAAGTGCCCAGAGAGGGATGGAGAGGTTGATGCTGAGAATTAGCCTAAGAGATCGGATGAGGGCGACGTGGATCAGGGAACAGGCAAAAGTAGAAGATATACTTGTGAGCATCAAAGAGAAAAAATAGCAATAGGCAGATCATATATGTCGGAGACAGGACGATGGGTGGACAAAGAATACATATAAATGTATATACATATATATGCATACATGTGTGTGTTAGTGTGTGTGTGTGTGTGTGTGTGTGTGTGTGTGTGTGTGTGTGTGTGTGTGTGTGTGTGTGTGTGTGTGTGTGTGTGTGTGTGTGTGTGTGTGTGTGTGTGTGTGTGTGTGTGTGTGTGTGTGTGCGTGTACGTGTGCGTATAGGTGTGCGTGTCAGTGTACTTGTGCGTGTGCGTGTGTTTGAGCGTGCGTGTGTGTGTGTATGCGTTATAGCGGTGTATATGCATGCGAAGCAGCAGAATACAACAATAATGTCAGCAACAAAATTACAACAATGACAGGAAGATACTGAAATCGGCAGAGCCATCTAGCGGCCAGGTAGGCAACTAATTTCAAGGTTAGATTGCCATGCTAACTATATGACACAGCTTTCATGTAGCTTCTCACTCATGCTTAAAGTTTCATATTTCTATAGGAAGAACTATAACAAAGGAATGCGTCAGCTTATGCTTTGTATT